GGCACTTAACAACACAACAACAACAACAACTTTTATGAATGCTTTTATGATTTCTAGATTTCATACTATGTTTATTAAGGCCTTCACTACTTGAGTATAATATTTTGAAATTTTCCTATGTAGTGGTCTAGAGTTTATCTGGCTTTTACACACACACACACATTTAAAACTTGCATCCATTTGAAGTGGTTTTAGTAAAAAGCGTTTAGATAAAGACCTAACTTGATTCTTTTATAGCCATTTGTCCCATACCATTTATTACTGTTTTTCCTTTTCTGGTTTGAAATACCTTCTTAATTTTACATTTCGCTATCAAATTAAGTCTGGTTTTGTAACGAGAGTAATTATTTTTTAATCTGTTAAGAGTATTATTTGTCCACCCATCTCTTAGCAGGTTGTAAGACAGCCCCTTTTCTTTTAGGATCCTTTCAAGTATAGCTACCCACCTCTTGTAGACGATGATTTTCAGACCCCCTTGTGTGAAAATGGGCCTGTTGCCAGTGAGGATGAAACTTCCAGTAAAGAAGACATAGAAAGTGATGGTAAAGAAACCTTGGAAATCATTTCTAATGAAGAACTGACCGTTCCAGTCAAAAAGGTAATTTTATGAATGAAATGAAATTGAGTCAACAGTTGCCATCTAGCTGCAGGCCTGCCAAGAGCTGGCTGTGTGGTTTCGGGCATGTCTCTTAACTCCTTGCCCTTCAGCATCTTGTGGTATAAAAGGAGGCTAGGACTGACTGTATAAAAGACCAACTGCATGCTCTTGTATCAGGGTGGGCAAAATGGGTTCAGATGAAATGATTTTGTCTAAAATATCCGAAAGGAATTAACTTCAAAGTACTATGCTCGAGTTCCTCTGTCTCATTTGTTAAAGAGCACTTGGTGGCCCCTCTTCATAGGCGTAATCAGAGGCTTAATAGAGGTACAAATGCAATGTGACAATCTCAAGCCAAGTTTTGAACTCTCCACATAGCCTTAATGTTTGCTTTTTGACCTAATGCCCTGCCCAGATATCAGTGTGCAAATAAATTTCATTCTCTTTTCTTCATAATTTTTGTCTGTAGAGTAGCCCAACGGAACAACCGAGTTCCAAAGCAGAAGAGAATGAAAAAGTTGATTCAAAGATAAAAACTTTCAAGAAACCATTGAGTGTGTTCAAAGGGCCCTTATTACACATCAGGTAAGAATTCAAGATTTTCTTAGCTATACTTGTAGTTTGAACCCACCAGTATCACTGTGACAGAAAGAGGAGGCTTTCTGCAACCCTAAAGATTCACAGGGTCACTCTGAGTTGGCACTGACTAGATGGCACACCATCACCACCATTTGTTGTTGTTGTTGTTAATTGCCGTCGAGTTGATTCTGACCCATAGTGACCCTGTATAGGGTTTCCAAGGAACAGCTGGTGAGCTTATTCTATTGGGTGTGTGGTAGACAATAAAAGTTCATATTGACATTTTAGCAGTAAGTACAAACAGCCCAAGTTCCAGAATGCCATAAAACTGTATTTTTTACTAAATTCAAGTGTTAGTCGAGCTCTACTTTTGTTACTATATTATTTGACCCCCAAAATTGAAGGTTATTTCTTTGTGATTGAGAAATCTATTTAGCCTTATATGAACATTGCCACATTGTTTTCAGTGATGACCTAGTATGTAATTGTCTATCCCTTTAAACCTCATAACTGTGTTTTTAGGTCTGTCTCTTTGGAACAATGCCCTCAGACTGTTGTTGTTTTTCAATCTGCGGTTCAGTTAATTGATAAGATTTGTTAGGGTTTGGTGCTGTCATAGCATAGCAACCCTGTGCCCAACTGCCTGGTCCTACAACCTCCTCACAGTTGTTATGTTGGACCCCATTGCTACCGTGTCAGTTCATCTCATTAAGGGGAGCCCTCTATTTCGCTGACCCTCTACTTTTACAAGCACGATGTCCTTCTCCAGGGACTGATCCTTCCTGACAACATGCCCAAAGATGAGAGATGAAGTCTGGCCCGGCTGGCTTCTAAGGAGCACTCTGGCTGTACTTCTTCCAACACAGACTTGTTGGTTCTTCTCGTTTGCCAACACCAGAATTCATATGCATCAATCCTCCTACTCAAATAATTGACAAGATTAGTCTGTTTATATGTATTGTGAGAGTTGTTCTGTTTAAATTTATCTCCCCATCTTGGGGTGCACTTTCTGTTTTCCATGGCTTTTCTTTGCCATTTTTCCCTTGTTAGAACTCTCTTTATTCCTCATGTTTTCCGCTCTGCTTGTTTGGAAATTATTCTGTTTTTTTCTGTTGTTGTTGTTTTCACTGAAAACCTATCTAAAACTTCAATTCCAGCTTACCGATGCAGAGTTATGAGAGGAAGATTGAATGAGGGAGAAAATGATACTGCCCAAAGGAAGTTTCTGAGGGCGCTGTTTGGGCTCTTCAACTCCCTGCTCCCCTCTCCCACCTGGGAACCTTGTTGTGCCTCTCATACCCAAGTGACAGCTGTCTCCCCAGAGCTTCTCCCAGTTTTTATGCTGATTTCTGAGGGCAATTCTGGGGCCTTATTCAAGACTGAGCTCTCAAATGAACTAACAACAATGCTAGTTTACCGTCTTGCCCAGAGTTGGACAAAGCCCTTCTGAAAGAGTGCCTTCTTAAAAAATATCCTACAGATAAATGGATACCTGTGGTAGGTAGAAACTCCAGAGAGAAAATGATCTATTGAAAGCTGTCAGCAAGGCTCAAGAGCTTCCAGAAGACTCGTGTCAGTGGTGCAGTGAAACCAAATCAGCATCCTTTTCCTTGTTAGGAGGGCTCTGATACACAGGGGTTAATGTACTTAAACCACATGAGCTTTGCTTGAGTTACTGAATTTTTATTTTAGGTCATGGTCATGAAAGTAGCCAATAGTAAAATTTTGAATTTTGAGGTTTGCTGATCTGACTGTTTGATAAATTCTCCCTTGCAGTTCTCACCCCAAATTTTATTTCTATATTTCTTCCTCTCCTTCCCTATTCCTATGAAAAAGCCTTTAGGTAAGAACTCAGAAATTATTCTCTTAGTTGACTATATCCCCACTGAACTTATCTTTCACGTTTTGGTCCTGTATATTGGTATATAAAAATGATATCCCATTTTGTAACAACCATGAACTCAAACTCCTGGTGTGACAACTGTAGGCTCAGCACTGGACTGTGAGCCAAAAGGTCAGCATTTCAAACCCACTAACTGCGCCTCAGAAACCCTATGCAGGGTCGCTGTGAGTTGGAACCAACTTGACAACACTTAACAGCAACAAGGGACTCACACACAGCACTTGATGGTGAGGGTGGTGTGAGACCAGGCAGTGTTTCCTTCATCCGGACAGAAGATCACTTGTTACATGTTAGAACTAACTCGACGGCACCGAACAACCAGAAGAAAAGTTGAAGAAGCATTACTTCTTTGCCTTGGTTATTATCTGTGACCTTCCTAAGGATTGAAACAAATGCACCTTCAGATTGTGCCGAGTACGGAATTGATTCAGAATCTTCCTAAGTCTCTCTTCTTTCCTGTTGATCTTGGGGAAAACCATTGTTGTTGTTAAGTGCCATCAAGTCAGTTCCAACTCATAGAGACCCTGTATAGGCTTTCTGAGACGTTGCATCTTTGTTGGAGCAGAAAGCCTCATCTTTCTCCTGCAGAGCAGGGGTGGGCTCAAATCACCAACCTTGAAGTTCAAACCAGCTTTGTGGTCCAGTGTTTATCCTGCAGTGCCACACCAGGGTACCAGGGAAAACGATTTGTTATTATTGTTGTTGTTATTGTCATTAATGCTGTGTAGTTGTTCCAACTCATAGTGACCCTGTATAGGATTTTCAGGGAGCAGCTGGTGGATTTGAATACCAACCTTGTGGTTCACAGTCAAGTGCTGATCTTACAGCGCTTATGGCTGCCTGCCTCCGTGGAGTCAGTTTCCACTCATAGCGACTCTATACAGGGTTTCCAAGGGTGTAAATCTTTATGGGAGCAGAAGGACTAGTTGTCATTTATTCTGAGTAATGCATGTGCTTTATGTTTGTTTTACATCATAGCCCAGCAGAAGAACTATATTTTGGAACTGCAGAGTCTGGAGAGAAGAAAACTCTAATTGTGTTGACAAATGTAACTAAAAATATAGTGGCATTTAAGGTAATTATTTGTAGATACAGCGATAATAAATCAGGTATGACCATTTGACATAGAAAGTGCTTTTAGACATATAATTGAAAGATGAATCATTTTGAAATTGGGCAATGTTGTCATTTCTGGTTTAGGCATAATGCCCTGCCTCCTAGTTCCGTGCAAGCAGCATCTCTGAAATATTCCCTGCATCTGTGTCTCCATCTTGAATGCACAGTAATCCAGCCCATGTCCAAATTGAGCCCAGGATATAAACTTAAAAGAGAAATTTGCTCTTCATGTTATGAATTGAATTCATAATCATAAAAGATAAAATTCTAAACTGGAAAATGTGAGTGTGGGATATTCTGTAGAGCCGTTTCAGTTTGGCTGTAGTGTAATACCGATCTCCCACCTCCTCCCCGATTCCGTACTCTAGAGCACGGGGGTGTGGGGGGGGGGGACATCTGGCCAGTGGACTGTGTAAGGCCCTCGAAATAATTTGCTCTGGCCCTGCCAAGGCAACCGCAGTTCCAACCATCACATTAATTTAACGTTTGACCAAATCTAGCAAGCTAATTTTTAAGTTGATAATTTGGTATGGCCATGAATGATGTTATAAGCCTCCAGATGGCCCTTGGCAGAAAAAGGTTTCCCACCCCTGCTCTAGATAATGTTTCCTTATGTCTTCTGTTTCATTTTAATTGATCTGCTAAGATCTATCTGGATGTGCTTGGATTGGCTACTGGTTTTTCATTTCTGAACACTATTACAGCAGGTGTTCTAAGGTGCTTTGACTTTTTTGAGTTTGTATTAGTAAATTTAGGTGCAATTAACAAACGATATAAATATTTAACAGATGGATTCGTGTGTTACTAGCAAGGCTAAGTGATAATTAAAGGTATAAGATGAGAATCTTTTTTAATCAATGGAGAGACATTTTTCCTCCTCATGGGGAGAAATAGCATCTACATAAAGTCTGTAAAAGTTGCTTTGTAACCTGTGTGTTATCCCTGATAATTAATTAAGATAATTAATTTTTTTAAAAGTAACTTTAAAGCCCTTTCCCTCCCAGACCACTATTGTGTTCATACACAGGTGAGGACAACCGCTCCAGAGAAGTACAGAGTCAAACCAAGCAACAGCAGCTGTGAACCTGGCGCGTCAGTTGACATCATTGTGTCTCCCCATGGGGGTGAGTTGCGGTGTGATGGCTGCTGTAGGGTGCTATTGGGCAGGGGAGATCCTCGAACTGTAATCTCAAAATTTGAGGAGTGTCTATCTGTAAGTCACCTCACTTCACCTCACTACTAATCTGTTGTCTCATAGGTAAAATGAGATGGTCACATGGGTGACCATCTAAAGCCCTTTCCAACATTAAACTTTAATTGTTTTTAAACAAATTTAGATTGCTTAAAAGGGTCATCGTTGAAATTGGTTTTCAAGATAATAATTGTTCATATTTAGGAATTCTTTTGCCTTTTTCCAGATTGTCCCCTCATTTCATCCCTTCCCCTTAATTTGAGTATGATGCCTTCAGCCACCTTTGCAAAGGCGCCTGTGTATGTGATGAATTGCCCTTTTGGCATGCAGGTTTAACTGTTTCCGCACAAGACCGTTTTCTGATAATGGCAGCAGAAATGGAGCAGCCCTCTGGCACCGGCTCAGCAGAGTTGACACAGTTCTGGAAAGAAGTTCCCAAAAACAAAGTCATGGAGCATAGGTAGGCCTTTTCCTCACAGGCTCTCAAACGTGTGTTTGGAAGAATCAGTAAAGATGCACCGACGTGGGCGAGGCAGATATTCCTTTGTCTAGTGTGAACCTTGAGCTCCGCCAGGCTCTGGGGATCCAAGATGAAGGAGACCTGGCATTTCTCAGGAGGCAGCTTTTAGCAGAGACGTGCCTACGGGCCCATGCAAGACTCTGCCCTCTCCAACTTCCAGATGCGGATCTCTTGTCCCCACAGTCCCCCTGTGAAAATACCCACTTTGTGTACTAGAATGTGTGCTCATGATCATGAGAAATTGGAAATAACCCAAAAGATCACCAGAAAGCAATAGTGAAATACATTTTCTAACCCAGACCAAAGCAAATCAAAAACCCATCACCATTGCATCAGTGCCGATTCATAGCTACTCTGCAGTCCTTCAGAAAGGTGAGGTACATCAGTTGGCTTTGACATGGAAAGATTTCTGTGATGCATTTTTCTGTAGAAGTGAAATGTGGTCCCGGAAAACTAAGTATGACATTCTCCTGTTTCTTTGGGGGGAAACCTGAGCGTGTATTGTAGGTGTATGCACTGATGTGTGTACGCATAAGTGTGTCAGATGGTGAGAGATGCTTGGAAAGGATGCCCACCGAAAGGGTAGGCAAGAGAAGGGCATTGCTGTGGATTGCTTTTGCTTAGTGGGGTGTTTCCATTGTCTCTAGTGAGGGGTGAGCAGTGGTCAGTGGTGACCTCTGACAGCTATTTCCATAGCCGGAGCCCGTGTGAATAACCATCCACCAGAAGCTTTAGAGATAATGAGGAAACGTAGTTCTGGAGGATCAGCTTGTTAGTGAGGGCTTGGGGTAGGACTTGAAGGGAGGAACCTGGCATTGATGAAGGGGTTGTTTTGTTTGGGGCTTGTTCATGGGAGAGATTTGACTGTTTCTCTACGAGCCAGTAGCAGGACCAGTGGAGAAGGACAGGTGGAATGATCTCGGTAGATAATGAGCAGTGCAATTCCTGAGGCAGCAGAAAGGGTGGGGGCTACCTCTGTAATGGCTCGCTGCACAACAAACACTGGGACTTTCATTAAAAGCAAAGTGGCAGAAAGTGACTTTTAAAAAAGGGGGATACCTATATTTGTGATTGCCTCTGGTATTTATGCCTGGGTGAGCAAGCTGAAAGATGTCGACGCACTGAGCTGCTCCCTTGGGTGTATCCAGGGAAAAGATATGAGAGAGGTGTTAGTACTTTTTGCATGAAACACCTGTTCCATATACTTCGATGTTTGATTTTATTTGTTTTATGTTTTTATTTAAAAAAAAAAAAAAACCGTTAACAATAAAGTTGTATTTACATTGGATTTTTATAGGTTAAGATGCCATATTATTGAAAGCAGTAAACCAACCACTCTAACATTTAAAGATGGTGCTTTTAGCGTGTCAAATAAAACCAGTGAAGATATATGTCTCCAGGTAAGATTTCAAGCTTCCCAACTAAAATGACTTGTCTGTCAATTTCTTGTTCTATAGTGGCTTGTGTGTTGCTGTGGTTCTGGAAGCTATCGCAAGGGTATTTTAAATACCAGCAGGGTCACCCACGGTGGACAGGTTTCAACTGAGCTTACAGACAAAGACACACTAGGAAGGAGAGATGGACTACTCCTAATATTTAGTCACTGAAAACCTTATGAATAGCAGTGGAACACTGTCAGTTAGCACCAGAAGATTGGATATTGAAACATGATGAAGAGCACCAGAATACTGTCAGATATAATGCCGGAAGATGAGCCCCTCAGGTTGGAAGGCACTCAAAATGCGACTGGGGAAGAGCTGCCTCCTCCAGGTAGCGTTGACCGTGATGACGTGAATGGAGTAAAGCCTTCTGTATCTTCATTTGCTGATGGGGCACAACTCAAAATGAGGAGAAAGAGCTGTAAACATCCATTAATAATTTGAATATAAAATGTACAAAATATGAATCTAGGAAAATTGGAAATTGTTAAAAATTAAATGGAACGCATAAACATCAATATCCCAGGCATTAGTGAGTTGAAATGGACTGGTATTGGCCATTTTGAATCTGGCAAACAAGATTTACTCTAGCAGAAATGACACATTAAAGAGGAATGGTGTCGCATTCTTCATCGAAAAGAACATAATCTGTCTTGAAATACAATGCTATCTGTGATAAGATAATATCCATACATATACAAGGAAGACCAGTTAATATCACTATCATTCAAATTTATACACCAACCACTAAAGCCAGTGATGGTGAAATTGGTGAATTCTACCAATACTTCAGTCTGAAATTGATCAAACATGCAATCAAGATGTATTGATAATTACTGGTGATTGGAATGCAAAGGTTGGAACAAAGAGGAAGGATGAGTTGTTGGAAAATATGGCCTTGGTGATAGAAACAATGCTGGAGAGCACATGATAGAATTTTACAAGACCAATGACTTCTTCATTGCAAATACCTTTTAAAAACAGCATAAAAGACGACTATACACATGGACCTCACCAGAGGGAATACACAGAAATCAAATTGACTGCCTCTGTAGAAAGAGGCGGTGGAAAAGCTCCATATCATCATGCAAAACAAGGCAAGAGGCAGACTGGAACAGACCATCAATTGCTCATATGCAAGTTCAGGCAAGTCCACGAGAGCCAAAATATGACCAGTGTCTTCTCCCACCTGAATTTAGAGAGTGTCTGAAGAACAGATTTGATGCATTAAACACTAAAGACTGAAGATCAGAATACTTTGGGGATGACACCAAGAACATTATACAGGAAGAAAGCAAAAGGTCATTAAGAAGACAAGAAAGAATGAAAAGACCAATATGGATATTAGAAGAGACTCTAAAACTTGCTCTCCAGCCTAGAAATTCTAAGGCAAATGGAAGAAATGAACAGGTAAAAGAGCTGAATAGAAAATTTCAAAGGTCGGCTCGAGAAGACTTAAAAGTCTAATATTTTATTGAAATGTGCAAAGATTAGGAGTTGGAAAACCAAAATGCTTAGCTTTTATCAAGCTGAGGGAACTGAAGAAAAATTTCAAGCCTCAGCTTGCAATAGTGAAGGATTCTATGGGCAACATATTGAGTGATTCACAAAGCATCAAAAGAAGATGGAAGGAGGAATAGTCACTATACCAAAAAGAAATGATGGCTGTTCAACCATTTCAAGAGATAGCATACGATCAAGAGCCAATGATTCTAAAGGAAGAAGTCCAAGACGCACTGAAGACATTGGTAAAGAACAAGGCACTGGGACTGATGGAATACAAATTAAAATTTTTCAACAAACTAATGCAGCACTGGAGGCACTCACTCAACTCTGCCAAGCCAAGAAATTTGGAAGACAGCTACCTGGCCAACTGACTGGAAAAGATCCATATTTGTGCCCATTCCAAAGAGAGGTGACCCAACGGATTTGCCGAAATCATTAGACAATCAGTAATATTGCACGCAAGTAAAATTTTGCTAAATATAATACAAAAATAGCTGCAACCATACATTGACAGAGAACATCTAGAAGTACAAGCAGATTTAGAAGAGGACGTAGAAAGAGGGATATCATCGCTCACATCAGATGGATCTTGGCTGAAAGCAGAGAATACCAGAAAGACCTGTGCTTTATTGACTACGCAAAGGCTTTCAATTTTGTGTGTCATGACAAGCTATGGACAACATTATGGAGAATGATCATTCCGGAACACTTAATTGTACTTATGAGGAACCTATACACACATAGACTAAGAGGCAGTTGTTCAAACAGAGCAAGGGAACACAGAATGGTTTAAAATTAGGAAAGGTGTGCGACAGGGTTGTATTCTTTCACCATGCTTATTCAACCTGTATGCTGAGCAAATTATCTGAGAATCTGAGTTATATGAAGAAAAACATGGCATCAGGATTGGAGGAAGACTCATTAGCAACCTGCAATGTGCAGGTGATGTAACCTTGCTTGCTAAAAGCAAAGAGGACTTAAAATACTTACTGATGAAGATCATAAACCACAGCATTTGGTATGGGTTGCACCTCAAAGTAAAGAAAACAAAAATCCTCACCACTGGTCTAATAAACAACATCCATATAAATGGAGAAAGACTTCTTGTCTGCTGCTTCCATGAGTGTTGATAGTTGATCCAAGAAGAATGAAGTCCTTGACAACTTCAATCTTTTCTCCATTGATAAGAATGTTGTTTATTGGTCAAACAACGTACTGCATTAGGCAAATCTGCTGCACAAGACCTTTTTAAAGTGTTGAAGAGCAAAGATGTCAGCTTGAGGATTAAGGTGCGCCTGACCCAAGCCATGGTATTTTCAATATCCTCATATGCATGCGAAAGCTGGACAGTGAATAAGAAGACCATAGAAGAATTGATGCTTTTGAGTTATGGTTTAGGAGGAGAATATTGAAAGTGCTATGGGCTGCCAAAAGAACCAATAGATCTGTTTTAGAAGAAGTGCAGCCAGAGTGCTCCTTGGAGGCCAGGATGGCCAAACTTCGTCTCTCATACTTCGGACATATTGTCAGGAGGGACCAGTTGCTGGAAAAGGATATCATGTTTGGTAAGGTGGAGGGTCAGAGAAAAAGAGGAAGACCCCCAATGAGATGGATTAGCCAAGTGGCAACATCGATGGACTGAAGCATGGCAACAGTAGTGAGGTTGGCCCAGGATCGGGCAGTGTTTCATTCTGCTGTGCATAAGGTCGCTATGAGTCGGTACCAACTTGATGGCACCTAACAACAACAACAATCAAAGACTTCATTTTCCTCAGATCAACCATCAACACTCATGGAAGCAGCAGTCAAGAAATCAATATATTTATTGCATTAGGCAAATCTGCTACACAAGACTTCTTTAAAGTGTTGGAGAGCAAAGATGTCAGCTTGAGGACTAAGGTGTTGCTGACCCAAGCCATGACATTTTCAATAACCTCATATGCATGTGAAAGTTGGACAGTGAATAAGGAAGACCGTAGAAAAATTGATGCATCTGAGTTATGGCGTTGGAGGAGAATATTAAAAGTACCATGAACTGCCCCCCAAAAAACTAAACCAATTTGTATTTGGAAGAAGTACAGCCAGAATGCTCCTTGGAAGCCAGCTGGCCAGACTTCGACTCTCATACCTCAGATATAATATCCGGAGGGGACCAGTCACTGGGGCAGGATAGCATGTTTGGTAAAGTGGAGGGTCAGAGAAAAAGAGGAAGACTCCAACGAGATGGATTGGCAAAGTGGCAGCAGTAATGGGCTCAAATGGAGCACCTTTCGTGAGGTTGGCGCAGGACCAGGCCGCATTTCATCTGTTGTGCATGGGGTCACGATGAGTCGGTACCAACTTGATGGCACCTACCAACAACAGCAACTAAAACAAAGGATTTTGATATTAGAAATCCACCATTTTCTACAGACACATAGAACAATCTTGGATAAACACAATGGAATGCTGGAGGGAAGTCAAATCTGAGATAGTAAGCGCTGAATTAGACTTTTAACGATTTTCTTTGGAAATAGGGACCAATAGTAAGTTCAGGGTGCTTTGGGGAGTAGCCAGCAATTCAATCTAGTGAAGACAGTCCAATTGAGGTGCATTTAAATTAGAAAGAGAAGGAGAGGTGCTTTTTTCCGAAGAGCTGTGTCTTTGGGAAGTGATTGCTCAACTCTCCACAAATGGAAGATTCTCCTTTTGAAAACGAGCGGAAGTGAATATATGTCCACTTGGCAAAGCTCATTCCTCATTGCATTTTCAGCTCCAAGCCGTTCAGACTAGATGGAGACCCCATCCCTTAAATGTATGGGTTTCTAATCTTCCCATTTGTTGTTCTCTTGATTAATGTACTGTTATATTAATATGCACCTTTCATCCTTCTTTCTCCTTTAGCTCAATCGGTTACTAGAAAGCAATAGGAAGCTTCAAGACCAAGTCCAGCGTTGTCTCTGGTTCCAGCAGCTGCTGCTTTCCCTAACGATCCTCTCGCTTGCTTTTGTCATCTCTTTCTTCTACTTGCTGTACAGTTAGGAAAGTGGTGCCCTGGCAGGCAGCATGCCTCAGTCCTTCACTAGTTGGAACAAGTAACAGACTCAAACCTCTCCACCAGACTAGATAGTACTAGAGGTACTTTCTGGAAGGAAATGTGCAACATTTGGGGAGAAGGGGATAGATATGTGTCTTAAAATAAAGTGTTAGAATAAGGACCTGGGAAATATAGACAAAATGAATTACAAGAAATGAAATTGTTAGTAAATAAAGGCATATCCGTTGTATAAGTGAATACTTCAAATATAATTTATTTTATTTTTTCTTTTTGGTTTGAATGCTTTTTAAAGCATATAAAGCTTTGTTTGAAAGCCTGTTAAGTTGTAACATGTATATACATTAGCTGAACTGAAAAATGTAAGTAAAATGCTTTATTGCAGAAAAAAAAAATGTAGTCTGCTTTTTCTGCGGGAATGATCAGAGCTGAGCCGATGTGTGGCTAGCCTATACTGTGTATATAGGACAAGAATATGTATATTAAGAAAGAAAACCAACTTCTACAGAATCATTTCTGAAATCATGACTTTTGTAATTTTACGGATTTCTTCCAGATGATAGTCATTCTTCTTAGGGAATGTAAAACTCTCTAATGCCAAACCACCTCTCGCCTTTATTTCTTACCAGTGTTCCTTACAGCAGGCCGCCTTGGGTTAATCTGGGGCTTTTTCATGAGCATGCCCATTTCGCTGGCATTTGGAAAACCAAGTTCTGTTGGGTCTCTGACTTCCGTACAAAATGTCCAGCCCGAAAGCCCTTCAAGCCCTCTCCAGCCTTCTTGACCAAGCGGAGCCTTTCCCCTCTTTGTTAGAGAGGCCTGGACCCTGCGTGTGCCTGCTCCACTCTCCTTCCAAGTTGGAGGAGTCTCTGGGGACCCTAAGTTGCACTTCTGCACCTTCTTTCTAGATAAAAGTTACTCGATTTTTTAAAACCCCATTTTTTAAATCAGTGCTTTGAGCTACATCCCAACAAACTCACTGCCATTGAGTCGATTCCAACTCACATAGCAGGAGGATATTTAATGTTTGTTTTAGTTCCTCATCAAAATCACCCCTGAGAAGGAAACTTTGGAAAGACTGGCACCTCTCTGTGTGTGGAATCGAATGTAGAAGCTCAAGTGTCAGCTATCCATGTAAAGAAAGAAAATAGGAGCTCCTGGTAGACTGTAGGACCTCCCACCAGCTGAATTGGCTGGTTGGGTTTTCTGCCTTTGTTGCAGTCCTTTTCAGTGCGGTTCCATGTTCCTCATAGTGACTCTGTGCAGGAGCAGGGCCTGATGGGGTTGAGTGTGTTTCGCCATCCACACTCATCGTCAGCCCATGTTGACCAAAATGTAAAGCTGCTTTCTATGAATGTAGTCTTGCCTGTACAGTAAGTTTGGCGCTTGCATTGCGCCCTGTGTAGGGATCCATTGTTGCTATTATTCTGCAGTATCTTTAGAAGTGGAAGTTTGGATGTGGAGCTGTGAAACATGATGTAATAGGGTTCCTTGCACATTGACCTAGGAAATAAAACCTTAAAAGGGCACTGGTCTGATACTTTATCTTAATTGGATTGGTTTTTCTGTTTCAGTTTACCAACACCAGATGTGAAACGGACTGCAGTCCACCCTAAGTACTAGTCCGCCTAGTCGCTCCCTGTGTGTGTGCGTACACAGTGGCTGTCCCTGACCTGTATTGTCTTAACAGTGTCCCTTTAATGTTTCACATGGAAATTCTCTTGACTCGCTAAAATAGCTGTGCTTGATGTCTGCTTCCTTATTGCTGAATTTAATATGTCTTGTTAACGTTTTGTCTGTCTACTAAATGTGTGACTAGGCAGAATTACTGGAAATTAATGATAAAGTCAAAGGCATCTAACTACTATTGTACTTATCTTGATTAATCGTATATATATTTACCTTTGATTTTATTCTTTCCATTTGATTTGACTTAATCACATTCATATGATGATTTTTTTTTTGGAATGCTACAGTTTGTCTTTCTATCATTAAGAATTTTATTGTTAATCATGTCATTAGCTGTTCATGACCAAATTACTAAGGACCAACATTTAGATTTAAATTTTTGTTTTCACTTGGGAAAAGAAATTGATTCTCCTTGAAAACATTAATGGGATATTATTAAATTGATCGTCAAGTAACCTAATATGATTGCTGATAAACCTAGCATCAAATTTCATAATAATACCATAACTGTTTTTATATCTTGCCACTAATTTTGACTGAATTTAATAGCACTTTATTGTACAATTACAAAAGAAGAAAAATATATTCCTAGAATTGTTGCCAGTATAATTTCTCTAATGTTCTGGTGCTTTTCATATATTTTCAGTATTTTTATTACTATATTGATATTTTCTTTGTATAAATTGATCAAAAGAACATGTTTTCTATTTTAATATGTTTTAGAAAAATAATTACATTTATGAAATAAATATCATCGGGAAAAAAACTCTGGTCTCTAATTGCTAAAGCATTTTGAAGAAGCACTGTGTTCAAACTCAACCGTTCAGAGATCTCCTTCATTTTCTTTGGTCGTGCTTTGCATCTTTACAAGGATAGCATTGCAGGCTGCCAGCAATGCAGTCCTCAGGCCAGATAAACATGCCCTTCAGTGGAGTCCTCATTTGCCCCCCAGCCTACTAGCAGGACTCACAATGTAGCATGAGGCTCCATTACTGAACCTAAAACTCGAGCTGCCAAGAGTTCTCATTGCCCATGTGCCCCCAGTCCTGGTATTTACACGCCTTTCCTGCCTGATGGGAGCAAGCAGGAACTAAACTAGCTGGAGACCTTGACTGGTTGTGGAGTGCAGGACCATGGCGGCCTGGCCTTAGGAACGCTCCCTGCAGTGAGGCACTGGGAGGGGTGGTGATGGAAGAGGCCCCCAAGAACGCTCATGCCTGGTCCCTTCACCACTGGGAGACAGATAGCAGCTACCTCTCCATCAAAAGGCAATGGATGGGACAGGCCAGTTTTCTAACCCTTTCCGTGTAGAAGTGAAGTTCAAGGTTAGAGGTGGAAACTACCAAATAGAGAGTCTAAACAATCTGATAAATTCACAGCTGAGCTACAAAGACGGAACGTTGACCTAACAGGAAGCATCGCACCAGCCAGGGACTGTGAGGGAGCTGTCTCCTTTCCTAAAAGATAGTTTATGGGAACCAAGAGTGCTGGGGGCAAGTCTCCAGCTTGGAAAGGACAGATTACAAGTATCCAACCTTTTGTCTATAAACTGCTAAGGGAAAGTATGTCACCGCTATTTTAAACATTTGTTCAATCAGACAAACACTTGAGAAAGATTTTCACAATGAGTACATGTACTAAGGCAAAGGGCACTTCCAGTAATTGTGTGCTTTGGTAAAGGAAGTGCTAGTGAGAAACAATTCACTTTTTAACCTTTCCTGTTTAGTAATAATTTATCCACTTGAGGTAGTTTATTTAAGATAGTTTTCTTGGATGTTAAAAAACAATGTGAAAATAACTAAAAGGTTAAAACTACAAAAGCAAAGAAAAGTCCTCTTCCTACAGAGACCGACTTCATGGTTTCCAGCATTAGTATTGCCTGATTTACTTTGGCTCAGATTCTAGTGCTTTGAGTTCTGTTGTCCCAGAAAGTCCCCTGTACATTTTCAGTTCTTTCTAGAGCCATAGTATGTATATGTATTCGAATAATCATTGATTTCCTATCGAAAACACTCAGATCTCCTGATTCATTTTTGGAAGTTATCCAAAACTGCCCTGCACAAAACTGCCACCACGATTTCACAGTCTTTTTTTACACCTCTGTATACTTCGGACCTATTGTCAGGAAGGACCAGTCTCTGGAGAAGGGTATCATATTTGGTAAGGTAGAGGGTCAGAGGAAAAAAGGAAGACCCCAGCAAGATGAATTGGCAAATTGGCGGCATCAATGGACTCAAGCGTGGCAACAATAGTGAGGTTGACTCCGGATTGGGCAGTTGTTTCGTTCTGCTGTGCATAAGGTCGCTCTGAGTTGGTACCGACTTGACGACACCTAACAACAATAACATGGAGTCCATTCCATGACTTTTAGCACTACATAAGGAAGACCTTGGAAGAACTGATGCATTTGAGTTATGGTGTTAAAGAAGAATATGAAAAGTATCATGGACTATTAGAAGAACAAACAAATCTGTGTTGGAACAAGTACAGCCAGAATGTTCCTTAGAAGCCAGGATGGCGAGACTTCTGTCATAAATCGGGTACATCATCAGGAGGGAACAGTCCCTGGAGAAGGACATCATGTTAGGTAAAATGGAGGGTCAGTGAAAAAAAGGAAGACCCCCAATGAGATGGATTGGGACTGTGACAACTGCATTGGGCTCAAATGTAACCACAATTGTGTAGATGGCACAGCACTGGGCAGTGTTTCGCTCTGTTGGGAATAGGATTGCTGAGTCAGAACCAACTCGCCAGCACCTAAAACAACAGCAGCATGTGGAGTCCTGGTGTGATGCTATAGAATAAGCACTGGACTGTTAACCACAAAGTCGGCAGTTTACACTCACCAGTCACTCCTCAGAAACCTTATGCAGGATCACTATGAGTTACTAACTGTTGTTGTTGTTGTTGTTAAGTGCCATCGAGTCGGGTCCGACCCATAGCGACCCTGTACAGGGTTTCCGAGGGTGTAAATCTTTACGGGAGTAGAAAGCCTCATCTTTCTCCCGCGGAGCAGCTGGTAGTTTCGAACCGCTGACCCTAAGGTTCGCAGCCCGATTCGTAACCACTACGAACTAGCTGGCACTTAACAGCAATAACAACAACATATATATTATCTCTCTCTATTTACATAAAGGCGCTCTGGTAGCGTAGTGGTTACAAGTCGGGCTGCTAATCTCAAGGTCAGCAATTTGAAACTGCCAGGCATACCATGGGAGAAAGATGAGGCTTTCTGCTCTCATACATAAATATTTACAGCCTCGGAAACCCTATACAGGGTCACTATGAGTCGGAACTGACTCCACGGCACACCACCACCACCTATGTACATACATGGACTCATGGCACTGTAGGATCAGCACTGGACTGCAAACCACAGAGTTGGCAGTTCAAACCCACCAACTGCTCCTCAGAAACCCTATACAGGATTTTGCTGAGTCAGTACACTTCACAACACTTGACAACAACAAC